TTCAGTGTAGTCAGGGGGTGCAGCCACCTTTCTGTTTTTAAACACGTATGTATGCTCTGTGCTCAAGAGCCTCAGCACACATGTGGAGGTCAGAGGAAAACTTTCTGGAACTGGGTCTCCCCTTCCACCATGTGGGTTCCAGGGATCGGTGGCAAGTGTCCTTGGAGCACAAACTGTATTGTACTTTTTTTGGAGACAAAGTCTCACTACATAGCCCTGTCTGGCCTGGCTGACTTCTGCTTTTACTGTCCAGTCTCACCTGTTTTGATAAATAAGGCTTCAGTGTGCGGCAGCCATGACCATTCATCACACAATATGTTTGACTGCTTTGGAGGCTGCAGCATCCAGAGCTGCAAAACAGTGGTAACCAAAACTACATGGCCCACAGAGCATGATCCATCCACTCCTAGAATCTATACAGTAGAATATATTCACTCCAGCTGTAGTCTGAGAAGCCTTTATACCCCAGGATCTTTTTTTTTTTCCTTTTAAATTTATTTATTTATCACACAGTGTTCTGTCTGCATGTATGCCTGCATGCCAGATGAGGGCACCAGATCTCATTAAAGATGGCTGTGAGCCACCATGTGGTTGCTGGGAATTGAACTCAGGACCTCCGGAAGAGCAGCCAGTGCTCTTAACCTCTGAACCATCTCTCCAGCCCCTATCCCAGGATCTTTACACAGTTTCTTTTGTATGAGTAACTCCAGATTGCCTCATGGCTGGCTCCTGGACGTTCTGTTTCTGCTCCAATTCTTCCTGAAGAGGCTTTCCACAACCAGGTCACAGTATCAAAAATGAGCAAACTCACCTCCCTTCTTCCCTCCCATTTCTGTTTTTTTGTTTTGTTTTGTTTTGTTTTGTTTTTGTTTTTGTTTTTTTCAAGACAGGGTTTCTCTGTGTAGCTTTGGAGCCTATCCTGGCACTTGCTCTGGAGACCAGGTTGGCCTCGAACTCAGAGATCTGCCTGCCTCTGCCTCCCGAGTGCTGGGATTAAAGGTGTGTGCCACCAACGCCCGGCTCTCTCCCATTTCTATATTGTTATCCTGACTGATTTTCCGTCTTGGACTTGCTCATGTCCTGAACTGGAATGTAAATTCCGTGAAGACAGTTCCAGGAATCAGTAGTCTGATGAGGGGAAAAATGAGGGGGGAAAAAAAAAGGAAGAGGAAAGAAGAAAAAGAAAATAAAAACATAAAACAAAAAGCCACTTGAAAACAACTAGATGAATAAATGAACCCTTCAAAGAAATGAGTCGGGGGAGGGGGTTACTTAATATTCCCTCAGTGGTTTTATTAGAGAAAAGAAGCCTGAATAAAAGACCAGTATGGAGCTGGAGATGTGGCTCAGAAGGTAGAATGCTGCCTGTGGTTCAATCCCCACCCCCCCCCCCCCCCCCCCCCCCCCCCCCACCCCCCCCCCCTCCATGTGGTGTCTCTCACCTGGAGTCCCGGCACTGGGTTGAGAGGTAGAGGCAGAAGGATCAGAAGTTCAAAGTTGTTCCCAGCTATAGAGAGTTTGAGGCCAGCCTGAGATACATGAGACCTCATCTCAAAACAAAATAAAGCAGGAAAGGAAGAACAGGGCCCACAAGATGGCTCGTTAGGTTAAAGCCCTTGCTGCCACCAAGTGTGACAGCCCAGGCTCCATCCCAGGGACTCAGGGATAGAAGGAAGAGGAAAGAGTTCCTTCACAAGTTGCCCTCAGACCTCCACTAGTGTGCCATGCACACGCTGCTCCACAGACACTTAAATAAACAAAACGTAATAAAAAATGTAAAAGGAGGGGCTGGAGAGATGGCTCAGGGGTTAAGAGCACTGACTGCTCTCCTAGAGGCCCTGAGTTCAATTCCCAGCAACCACATGGTGGCTCACAGCCATCTGTAGTGTGATCTGGTGCCCTCTTCTGACAGGCACTGTATACATGATAAATAAACAAACCTTAAAAAAAATGTAAAAGGAACAGACAGCGGGTCTGATTCCTACCATCATTTATGGAAATGATGTTTTGGAGTGACTATTTCCATGCTCTTCACCAGCATATCATTATAAGGAATTATAGAGGGTCTGAGGAGCAAGGATGTTAGAACATTTTTGTTTTTAACTTTTCTAAATTGATATTTCCTTCTCAACTAAAAAATCCAACAGGTGGATTACAGCTTCTTTTCCTCACTATGCATTTAACCCATTACTCTTGGTTCATCTTGAGTTCTCAGTTTTTGACCTTGATGCTAGTGTGATATTGGACACACTTTCAGCTCGTATCGGGCGTTGTCAAAAGTAAACCAGCACAAGTGTGATGCTCATTTGGTAAAAGTGCCTGCTACTAAGCCTGATGACCTGAGTTCAATCCCTGAGACCCACACACTAAAAAAGAACCAACTTCTGAAAATGGCCTTTTGACCTCCATGTATTCACAGGGCACATGTGCACCCCTGTCCACAAATAGCTATAAATAAATATAGTAAAATCACTATTTTTAATTGCTAGTAATAGCACCAACAAACACTTTTTCCTTTACTTAACCTTAATTCCCACAAAATGTCAAAAGGACTCTTTCCCTTAACTTTTATATTACTGTAAGTTTGAAACAAACACACACACACACACACACTATATATATATATATATATAACACACTTAAATGATAAGTTTAAAACAAGAATGGAGAGGGCATGGTGGCACACACTAGTTATCTCAATATTGTGGAGTGAGGCAGTGAGGCAGGAGGATAGTGAGTTTGAGGCCATCCTGAGTTACATAATGAGATCCTGACTCGAACAAGGATGTGTGTTACCTTAATATGATAAGGTTGGCATAATCGGGAAGCCTCACAATAAGAGAAATAGGGTGGCTTATACAGTTTCTTTTTCTTTTTGAGACTGGGTAGCATAGGTTAGCCTTGGACTTGCTTTGTTCCCATGGTAGCCTACAACTTTTGAAATGGAAAACCAGAGTAACACCTTGTCTTAAATATATAAGCTTAATTAATAAACAGTGTGAGGGGGAGCCACAGCCTCCGGACCTGCTGGAAGGAGAGCTTGGTGGGGAATGGGGCAGGGGGGTGCGGAGAATACAGAGCAGCCATGCTTTTGGTTAGTGATGAAAACAAACACATTAAAAAAGGGATCTCCCACTGAAAGCCAACATCCTGACACTGCCCCCGCCTCACCTGCCCTGGTAGACAAGGCTTATGATCACTGCCCCCCAACCTGCCCTGGTAGAAGAGGCTAATGGTCACTGAGCACCCACTCATGTCCGTGGCACTGCCCGACGGACAGTTCACAAAGCATTCCTCCCTCTGGCACACCCCCTACTTGCTGTGGAACCCAGACTTAGTCATCACCACGAGTCCTGCCAGCTCTTCTGAACCTCACTGGCACAAACAAAGCTAGTTTCTCTTGCCAGGGAAATTGATGTACTGTTTGTGCCATAAATTCCAGGCACTGATTCTTCCTCCAGCCTTTGGCTTCTCTCAATCTCTGTGAATAGATTTATACTGTCTTCACCTCTCAGATCCTGTGAGCGGCGTTGTCTGCTCATGGAGGAACACTTAGTTGTAGAGTCAATCCACCTGGATATGTGTCTTCCAGTTTGAGGCATGCCTTTCAGGGAGGAGAGAGGGGGGTCGAAAGCTTGCCAGTAGGAGGCTAAGGAAGTTCACAAGGGCCCCCCTGAGGTCACTCAAGCAATTGCTGGCGGGGGTGGGGGATGGGGTAAAGGGTGGGTAAGCTGCCTGAAAGCTGTACAGGGAATTCCAATGACGCATCTTCAATGAGTGCTCACCCATGCTGGTGTACTTTTGGTGATGCAGCTGCCACCTTTGAGTCATCCATGGGTGGATAAGTCATTCCCTAGCCATACTCCTGTTAAGTGACATCAATAAACTCTGTGTTCACCAAGCTAGATCTGAGTGGATCTTTGGTCTGTCATGGGTTCACATCTTCCTGAGAAAAGTCACATATACTATATGTGGGATATTTGCACACTGTGTGACCATGTATTGCTGTGATTGATAAAAAAAGATGAACGACCAATAGCTAGACAGGAGGTACAGGAGGGACTTTCCAGCAAGAGAGAGGAAGTAGGAGGAGGAATCTAGGCATGAGCCAGGAAGAGAAAGAGAGACAGAGACACAGGAGACACAGAGAAAGCAGGAATGGGCAGTAGTGACAACGTAGATTGATAGAAATTGGTTAATTTAAGTTATAAGAGCTATTTAAAAACAAACCTAAGCTAATGCCAAGCTCCCCCATCCACCCCCCCTTTTTTTTGAGACAGAGTTTCTCGATGTCCTGGAACTCAAATTGTAGACCAAGCTGGCCTCGAACTGAACTCACAGAGATCCATCTGCTTCTGTCTAGGATTAAAGTTTGCGCCACCACCGCCTAGCAAGCTTTCACAATTAACAAATCCAATTACAATATTCAATAAAGATGAGGCAGGGGAAAAAAAAAAGACCACTATGGTCACTTCTGTAGTTTATATACTAATTTGACTGAGATTGTCCCTTACGCAAGGACAGCATACAAATCTTCCAAGTATCCCATATTAAAAAAAAAAAAAAAGTATGAAAATGAAAGGGAGACTATTGGACCGAGAGAGGGAGCAAAGTAAAAAAAAGGGGGGTAGTGAATATTATGGCATCATCTAAAACAGTATATATATACATGAAATCATAACGAATCCTGTTTTTCTTTTTACAAATAATGTATGTTAACAACGACACAAAATAAATCACTGGCTAATTTCCATGCCTTAACGTGGAAAGCATGCTTAAGGAGACAACTGCTTTCCTCAGGATGACCATTAAAATGTTCAAGGGAAAAAAACCTAAGGCCCTGGTAGTGACAGGGCTAACGCAGTAATGGGCTCCTGTCAGCACTTATATACCTTACATTATTATCAAGACAAGAAAAAATCACAAAGAGGTCAGCACTGAGATTATCAACAGGAGCACACCAGTTTGATGCCAACGGGACATTAATCCCTATTACTCACGCTCTGTTTATTGGTCTCCATCTCTCTATCGTAGTGAGACTGGACCCTTCTTCAAATTTCTCTTCAAGGCACAGCTTCCTGTAAATCATAATTGGTTCGTCAGTTATTTATTCTGTTTAATTGGGGTCCCTGAGAGGACAGCCTGTGACTTAGCTTCTGGACTACTGAGCACTAGGATAGTGGGAGATGAATTTCCATACATTCTAATGGGATCCTTGATCAATGGCCAGGGGTGGGGGAGGGCTAACAGTGAAGGCCTCTGGGTAGAGGAAAGAAAAAGACAGCTGAGTGTGTTAAAAAACCTCTGGATTTTGGCCAGACGTTGGTGGCCAAACACGCCTTTAATCCCAGCACTTGGGAGGCAGAGGCAGGCAGATCTCTATGAGTTAGAGGCCAGCCTGGTCTCCAGAGCGAGTGCCAGGATAGGCTCCAAAGCCCTGTCTCGAAAAGCCAAAAACAAAACAAAACCTCTAGATTTTGAGCCATTATTCTGGCACCAACTAACAGTTTCCCTGTCTGCAGAATGAGCAGGAAGTCCTGCATGTACGTTATGTGTTGGAAAAGCAAATTTTTTTTTTAAAAAACCTCACATTGTCCTTGTAATCCAAATAAATATACTTTTCCTTAAAAGTGAGGTGCCAGGACCAGCAAGATGGTTCAGTGGGTGAGGGTGTTTGCTGCCAAGACTGACAACCTGAATTTGATCCCTGGAGCCCAATAGTGGAAGGAAGGAACCAAATCCTACAAGCTGTCCTTTGACTGACACATCCACGAGGTCACACACACATACACACACTGAATAAATCCCACCATGTGAAAAAACATTTAAAGATAAGGAAACAAGACCATAGTGGTCAAGAGCAGCCTGAGCAATGCAGTAAGATCCTGTCTCAAAAGGTTGGGGGTGAGAGGACGTATAGAGCTATAGCTGAGCAAGGGAACACTGGCCTAGCCTGTGTTCGATCCCCCATACTGCATTAAAAGAAAAAAATGTTAAATTGATTAACTAATTGAGAAACTAACACCATTTTGCCCAGGGCAGTTGGCTTTTCATCCCTTCTCAAACAGGGTTAAGCCACTTGATGACGGAATAACCCTTCCTTTGCTAAGAAAAAGCCGGTTTTCAGACCCTGGCAGGCGTCTTTCACGACTAACACAATGTCAGTTCCCTCTCCGCAGTCCAGTTCTGCTTGGATTCACCAGAGGCTCGCTCTCGGCTCTCTGCGAAGATACTCTCAGCAAGGTCCCTGCGGACAAACCACTCTCTCTACCCCGCACTCGCTCCAGCCCGATTCCTTCAGCCGTTTACATTTCCCTTGAGAAGATTCACAGGCCTGATGGCAGGGGCCTGTAATTCTAGGCACCCTGGGGCCTGATTCAGGAGGACCTCAAGTTCCAATCCAGCCTGGGCTACAAGGATGTTCAAGGTCACAGCCTCGGTCCCCCAAAAGTAACAAGGCTGGGGACGTAGCTCGGTGGCCTATCTCCTTCCTGACGTGACCAAGGCTGTAGTTTCCATCCCCCCGCTCTTACAAACATTTCCCCGCTATGGTCTACGCTGTCTACCCATCAGTCTGGGCTAGGATGCCGAGGTCCATCCAGGAGGGCGGGCGTTTGGCCCGTGCGCTAGG